CGGTAGATAAAAGGCGCCAATTGGTCGTTATGTTGTGGTTCCTTGTAAAAACACCATAAATAGCATTTGACAACATAAACCCGTTATGAAATTCAAAATATGTTTTTTACTCCTATCTTTATTTGTAATGTAATATAATACATATCTTACATATGACAACCGCACAAACAATAATATGTGGTAAGAAAAACGCCTCTTGTCAATACTTGCAAAGATACTCATCCGTCAAAGATAATGACTGCAAAACAAGAATAACAATGTCATGACAAACTATTTCATAAAAAAGTTGCTTTTAACACATATAGAATGCCGCCCTATTTACCTAAAAAGTTATAGACCTACATGCACGTAATCATCAGTCATGACACCCACGCCCCCATACATACCAAAGTTTATCCTGTCACTTGTATCAATTTCGGCCCGATAACAAGGTGCCGTATATTTTTACTGATCTACGGCACTTGATCACGTGGTATGCATGTTTGCCGGACTACTTTTCAAGAAAAATATAAAACTGTCGTTAAATCTTCTGTGTGTAGAATAACGAATTTTGGAAACGTTGATAAAACTTTGTTTGTTTATTTTATTTCACTCTATAAATTTTCAAGCGAAATAAAAATTATTAAAAGTGAAATAAATGTAAAACTTAACTCGTTTGCGACATTAAAATAGCGTACTTGATTTGATTGTTTTGCACGTGCTGTTTGGCGCTGTATTGTGACGTCACGTAAGCAATACTTTAAACGTCTGTGCAGCGTTAACGACTGAAGAAAAGGTATTGGTTTTCGAATTCATTTTCTTAGTTAGACCATTTTCTTTCATTCAAGATAGTTTTCACAACAAAATTCGACAAAAAAATGTTTTTATTTATCATATTTTTAAACAAAATGGCGCCCTCAATGTGAAAATACACAGGGAGATAATAAGAACGGCGAGTGCATTGTTGTAGAATAATGCACGCTTCGGTTCTTCTTTGTTTATATAGAAACATTCCCGATAGTGTGATTAAAGGTAATTTGCCTAATAAAATTCTTTAAAAAAAAAACGATGACAGGATAAATAGAATAATAGATTGGTGCCGTGGATGGAGAAAGTTTATCTGGCTCTGCTCCGGAAATTATTGGATTCGCCTTCGGCTCACCCAATAAATTCCTTAAACTTTCTCCATCCACGGCACCAACCTATTATTCTCTATATACATACGCATAAACCTTTTGACATACTTTATGCTTTGTTATAAATAGGAAAATACAGGACAGTCGAAACACATTTAATTTGTTTTTCCACAGAATATCGACTTTTTAGCGATATGAGGGTAAAATGTCGAAAATACTCAATTAATCAATAATGACATTTAAAATAATTCCATTTAAATATCTAATTCATTTATGGGGCGTCCGAGGCCGAGTACTCAAGGTCGTAGAGTTAAAACCCCGTGCCTGAATAATGTTATTAAAAATATTAGACTTTTATATTGGTATTATAATATTATCTAAATATACAATTATAATTAATTATGCAATATAATATATTGTATTTTTTCTTCTTTTTTTCTCTACGAGATTAGATATACATGTATATGAGCTAACGAGAGATACGTCAAATAATGGAAATGAGTAAGGGCCTATACGAAGTATTTTGATTGGTCAAGAAAAAAACAGGACCTATATGAAAGGTACTTCTATTCGAATGTGAAGTACTTGAAAAATGTTTCCGTTGGTTTTTATAAAATAAATAAGTAAATTAAATAACAAATAATTAAACAACAACAACAACAATAAATAACTGACATCAACAACAAAAGCAGCAACGACAACAACAACAACAACAAGATAAATAAATGCATAAATAAATTAATAAATTTATAGATAAATAAATAAATAAATAAATAAATACATTAATACATAATTAAATAAAAAAAATATAAAAGATTAAAAAACATACAGATAATATTTACAATATGTGCATGCCTTTATTTTACATGACTACTTATAACATTATAAGTCCTGCAGCAGAAAGTAAGTTTAGTTTATATTAAACTCTTAAATAGTTTTACATTAGGCACATGCTTAACTAATGAGATAAAATGGTAAAAAACAAATTGGGTGAACTACGGCCTAGCGCCAATACGAATGTCACTGCTACACCTCCACACCACCTACATAAATAAATAAAATAATAAAAAATAAATAAATAAAGGTGGTGCTGTTGTTGGCAACTCCGAAGCACGGCAGTAGGCCACATTGAATTTACTAGAGCTTATTTCAGCCACCGCACCGTTCCTGGGCAGGCTGTTAAGCAGTTTACCAGTACCAGTTGCCTGGAACATTGTGAATGCCTGTAGAAAAGATTTCATGATCATTCACAACGAAAGTGACCTGCGTCTTCTGGGAATCGAACCCGGGTGCCCGATTCACAGTCCAACGCTCTACCTATTGAGCTAGCCAGATGACTAAATAAATAAACAAATAAATAAATAAATAAAAAAATAAATAAATAAATAATAATTAAACAACCGTTTATATAGCGCCATAAAATCTGCCAAAACTAGTAATAACAATATATGTACACGGCTGCTGTTTTATATGACTGTTATGTTATATGACCGTGTATACACGATTTTTTGCAATATAACATCTAGTTGTATAAGCCTACAACTGTTCATATTTCTAATCAAATCAATTTCATTCACTCTCGATGGCGATGAATATACTGTTGAAAATATGGCTTTAAACATTGCTGGTCATAAAATGCTACAATGGCCAGAATATCTTTTCTTTTAACTATTTCTTCCTGGATAAATATAAAGCATTGTCAACTGGAGTCATGTCAAGAGAAAAGGGATTAATTGATGTATGTTGTATGCATGACATTTATCTTATAGATAGAGTGTGAGTTAAATAAAGCGTATCATAATACGAAATTTCAAATACAATTTAAAAAAAATATTCGTAATAAATGTGCAAGTGAATCAACACGCCGGAACTGTTTCTATAGATTTGTCATATTGATAATATGTGATGTCATCGGAAACAGATATCAAGTATGAAAACGATATATCAGAATAACCTTTGATATTAATTAAAAAAAATGTTTCTTGGTATCCGATGTATAATGACAGTTCTCTTTATAGTGTCAGTCGATCGTGCAGCGCATCATAAATTTACGTAACCTTTGTCACGTCATAATTTGTCTTGCTAACACGACCTACATCACTTTCTAGAAAACCGATATTATATCTTGTTTATAAATTATCTGGTTTTCTGAATTTAAATCCACTGTGTCTAAGCAACAACGAAGATTTACGTTATTTTGGATCATCCCTCTTCTGAAAAAATGAAAATTATTGCAGTGTTTATGATTAAATTTAAAAATATTTTTTGTTTATTTTGTAACCGCGATGTAAAGAATAACATGTCGTCACGAACATAAACAGAAAAACAAACAACTTCAACATATCATTAAACAGACAAAACATAACAGTAAAATGACAGCCTCGTTCTAATATTCTGTACTAAAAACATCAGAAATATGAAATTCTATATAGCATGTGAAAAAACAACAACTAATAATAAAAAATACAAAATCCATTAAAAACACTAAAACAAGAACAGTATCAACAAGAAAACATCAAGAAAATCACAACAATAATTCATTTCATTATCATAATCAATATCTTTTTGGCTACTCAACATGTACAAGAATGGTCCATTGCAGAACTGCTAAAAGGCACCCCTCCCACCTACCCCCCCCCCCCAAAAAAAAAAAAAAAGAAAAGAAAGAAAGAAAACGAAAAAAAAAAACTCAAAAGAGAAAAGAAGAAAAAGACAACAACAACAACGTTAACAAAGGGAAAAAATTAAATCAAATCAAAACCAAATTCATATGAATAACAAATATATATGAATAAAGAAACATAATATTATCCAAAGTACATGCGATATAATTAGCAGTTGCACAGGCGTTAAGCAGCTTTAAATTATGCTTTCAAAATTAATTACATATAAGTCAAAGACTGCGAGAACCTGTAACAACATTGGATTAAAAAAATCACTGTACCGTGTTTTGCGAGCCTAAACAAGCCAATCTGACCATGTCTAGCGAATACAAGCGCCTACTAATTCCGGTAACAGTACCTTTTCTTGTGAGCCTATAAATTTTAACTTGTACTTTTCTTGCGAAAACAGGAAGTAGAATATTTGATCCGTTGAGATTAAAATAATTAAATCTTATGCACTAGAGATATCACCACAACTTTAAGATATCGCAATGTGTGTGTTTTAAAGTGTTAATTAAAGGTACTGTTTCGAGCATTAGGCGAAAGTTTGTCAAATACGTTTTTATTAATGTTTCGTGGTTCACTGAACTAACTGTACAAAATGTACAATAATGTCAATAAACATAATTTTAAATGCCTATTACAAGCATGTCAAGATACAGAATCACGTAGCATTATTGTTCTATTACGATTATGCTAATAAAGTACAATTTTCATAAAAGTATAAAACTTAAGATAACAAAATGATAAAATAAAAAAAATGAAGATAAAAAGATACATAGCTAACTCATTACGTGAAGTTTCAAGAATTTGTACAAAACATAATATATTTCTTACATTTCATTTACAGTATAAAGGCTTTTTCTTATTAAATTCCCATTTCATTTCATTTTGTTTTGAATATGAATAAATGAACCGATAATAGCATTTGTCTGCTCAAAAAGCTGGTAGCTTCACTGCCTTGTACATATATTTGAAATAATTATATCAATACATTTAGGTCTAATTCGCATATGTTTCTTTACTATTTGCTTTTCTAAATCTTCATTTCATTATTTGTTTTCATTTGTTTATTAAACAAAGTTTAACACTGTTTATTCCTCTAATGACCTTGGCGTGTTTGATTCACAAAATAACTTTATTGAATTTGCATACAAAACAATTTAAGCTTAATTTGTGCAATGTTGCCGATCATTTCAACACGCGTTGTTCGAGTTAGTAATAACGATGGATGAAACTGTTCAGGTATGTGTGTTATGTCTTGTTTTAACACCATCCTCAATGTGTTAGGAAAAATGTTTCATAATTACAATATAGATTACAAGTATCAGGTTTTCCTACGTTAAAATGTCATACCATAGGTAATCTTTTAAGTATGTTTTTGTTTATGTTTTAATGACTTGCCATATACATATAGTGTACAACGTACCTTTTTTCTTATCTATATTTAGATATAATGACGTCACACGTGCGGAATTATACTGACTAAGGTAACAGCCATTTACGTATTTTACGTTGAACGTGTATGTCAGAAGAATAGGACAGATGCATCACTAATTACTGACACGATTTGCCCATTTGTATTGTGGGAAGCTAGTTTTAATTGTATGAAACACGTTTCTACTGTCACTTATTCGACTGACTAGAAGTGGACGAGTATTGTATTGTTTCGTTTGTGTAAATGTTTCGGATACTATAAAAGTTTCTTAATTTATTTTTTCGGTAACTTATACTTATTGTACAAAAACCGGCTGGGAAGCCGTAAACACATAACTATGGCTGGAAAATTTAAGTTATTTCGTTTATTTATTTGCTCAATTGTTTTAAGCTTTATGTCTTGTGAAGCGCGTCTTGTAACTGACCTAGTAAGCGATGCAATGGAAACATCTAAAGACCTTTTTGTGGAGCCGATAGCAGATATGGCTGAAAATGCTCGAGAAGTTATTAAAGAAAGTGTAGAGAAATCCGTCGAGACTGTTAAAGATTTTCAAGAGAAATTATTAGACCCATACCACGAGGTTATGGAAATGTTCAAAATAAAGACAGATCAAGAATTTACAGAGGACATATTGGATTCATTCCTAGGAAAGTTCACCAAAAGATTACATTGTTTCAGTGGATCACAAAAAAGATCAGTTTCTTGCACAGCATCTATGGTAAGGATATTTCTACATTTCCACTTTTATAACCGAACATTTAGAAATAAAAACAAAAACAGTTCATACCCCGGTGTACCAACTGTACTTCTATGTAATAATAATAATTATATGTATGTAATATTAATGTAACTTTGTTACCATGTTTAACTTCATATTTCAATACTACATCAACGTTCGATAATACAACGTCTTCATTCATAAATCTTTACTTTTTCATCAGTCTGGTATGACGTGACATGTCGTAAACAATTGACGTAGGGACACGTTTAATTGTTTAATAATTGATGGTTTTGTCATTGACGGCTGACTCCCATCTACAGAGTAATATGCAGTCCCTCCCCGCCGTCTGAATACTGCTGTTATCTATGTGCAAAGTGTTTATTAAACTTTTTTTATTTTACTCCCGTTCTCGTATGTTATTACGTGTGACTGGTTGAAAGAACATTGGATGACTTGCAAGTGGTGTAGATTTTCAAACATTATGTTGTTTTCACTTTTGTTTCACAGCCAAAACAATATATTCACTGTCGCAATAATATGTAAACCCTTAAAACCATGAGGTTATTTCAAATTGCTGTCGATTTTGAAAATGAAGGTTGATAAATGGGACAGAATGAAGTAAAAAGGACAGGCTTAACAATAACTACATATTTAGCGACAAATCTAAGTTCATGCTTACAACTGGCTTTAATATATAATTCTCAGCCTATAATATATAATTCTCAGCCTATAATTAAAATGTATCACTATATTAATGACCAAATAACATAATTTGATTTCTTCATTTTATTATACTCGAAGACTTTGATTATTTATATATTATTTATATTTTTGTAAGACAATTGCTTCTGTTTTAATAACATATAAAGTCGAAAAATAATAGCCAAATGTCTTCAGATATTCTGCACAGTTAATTATTTACATATGTAAGTTAGATTCCGACCAAGGACAGTATTTTTTATAACAAAAAGTACAAGGAATATCGATAGTTTTACCTACATGACCGTCCCTTGTTAAAACAAATAGGTGGACAGATTATTATAATTATATCTTCAAATTTATAGTATTAAATACGATAGAAATGCTTCACAACATGATAATTAACTGCTCAATATATACATGAAGAAAATATGTGAGACGAAAAAAATATGAGCCGCACCAAGACAGAACCACCATAACGCGTTTGCGACCAGCATGGATCCAGACCAGCCTGCGCATCCGCGCAGTCTGATCAGGGTCCATGCCGTTCGCTTACCAACTCTATTACAAGTAGAGAAACTGATAGCGAACAGCATGGATCCTGATCAGACTGCGCGGATGCGCAGGCTGGTCTGGATCCATGCTGGTCGCAAATGCACTATGTTGGTTTTGTCGTGAGGCGGCTCATTTGTTTACTATGAGGACAATTTCAATTTCGTTGAGAGTGCTAGGCAGATGTTAAAATATCCATCGATCTAATGTTATAAAGGTCATATGGAGGCAATGTGATACATTAAGTGTGATCCTTTTTATACTTAAAGGCACATTAAACTTTAGTAATGACTTTTTCCTTTCTGTAAAAAGGGGAAAGTGTTGTTATAATGTATTAGGTATTATATTTTGGATATGAAACTTCCGCGAAAGAGTATCGTTTTGGAAAGTGTAATAGAAAAAATTAAATTTTGATAAATATTTGAAAAATAAAATTATAATGAAATACATTTTTACGGCTTTAAGGGCCTTTAAGAACACGTTAAGTTCCTTAAAATACACTATCATTAACATTCTTTTCGCTTTCGGTAGTAATAAAAATTGGCAAAGTTATACATTTAAATTCTATAGTGAACAAAGATGTGCTTCGTATTAAAATCTAAAAAAAAAAACAAAGGTAATTTTAGATAATTTTAAGTTGGTTACAAAAAGTAAGAATTATAAGTTTTATAGCATAGCTGTGGTATCTTCGCTGTCGTATTAACTTATTAAGAATGTCATTATAATAAACATGTGGCAACAAAACTGTTTAAATTACGTTGTCCCGTTTTAAAAATGCACTGTTATCGAATTAAGCTGATCCCACAATAGTATTAAAATGGTATGATAGCAGATAATTTGGTGCATATTGTTTATTGTCTTATGTTTTGTACACGAAGTTATGTTTTCGCGCTGTACGGAAATATCTTGATTAAAGTACTTTATTTTGCATGGTTGTAAAATTGGCGACTTAAATAAAAAACAATTCGTAGTGTACTACACAAGTTATATAAATATATACATTGTTTATTTAGTACCAAAGATAATGTGTTGTGTATCACTAATTAAGACGTACACGCATCAGTCATAAATGACAAAATGGACTTACTTTACGCCGCAGGCAAACTTATAAGTAACTGTGTGCAAAAGATAAAAAAAATATTTCCGAAACATTTGTCTTAAAATAGAATATTAAGTGGCGACGCTATTTCCCGGTCACGAAATATTATCACGTACTTGCATCATTTTTTCATGTCTTCCGATATTTTTTGTATAAATAGTTAAAAAGCGTTTTACATAAATTCCTGATTCATATTTCTAATATGCAATGGTATTTTTTATTCTTATAAAAACATAAGAAAATAATTTAACATTCCATGTAGCTTTGAAAGACTTCTTACTTTCTATAACGACTTTCATTTGTCGTAACATTTTAAAATTTATTTTCAAAATTATGTAAATATAACTGCGTGTTCATATTATCTAATCTCACTTTAAAATTTACCATTGGGGGTTTGTCATGTCGGTATAACCCTTGTTTGTTGTCTATCAACCTATAAAGGTATTGACTGCAAGTTATTGTTATTCTCCGAAACGCTTCAAAAACTACTAAAAACGCCAATTCTTATTAAAACCCGAAAATTCGCATTTCTTGCACAAAAAACGATTACATATGTTGAATTGGTGTAATACAAGGAAATGCATTTAAACAGTACTTGTTTTATGTTTTTGCACATGTCAATGCGTCTCAACAACCTTGTTTGTTCATTGATGCGAAGAACATGTAACCTTAGTTTGACAGGCTTATGTCAGGGCTTTATTGAGTGATGTCTTACATAATATGCGATGCAGTGTTAGATGTTACAATATAAATATAATCATGTTTTTCTTGTGTTTTCTCGCACAAAGGTAAAAAGGTGATCACGAATGTAACATATCACCAGAACATTTATAGTCAAACATGTAAGCAAGATAATAAATTCATCTCAGTAAATTTACCTTCGTTATTTCATTATAGAAAATATGGATAAAGTACTTAAATTTTATCTGTATAATGAATTCATACCAGATTTTCGGCATAATATCGGATGTAATAAATGTAAATTGCAAATCTTTATTCAAACACTTTTTCCTAAATCATGTTATGAGACTTAGCTTTAAAAAGTAATACAGTTCATGAAAATGTTTATGAATCATACGATAGCTTAGCGTATTCAATTTACAGATATAGCTAGTACTAATATGCTAGATAAGAGATCATTTTTCCGATGTTTATTCTTACACGTTCTGCATTATTTCACACATTTCCAAGTGTACTGAAAGTCAAACTAGCACCGTGAAGGTCATAGGGCGAGGTTTCGTACACACAAAGTTTACGTGCGTCCTATTTATAATACAATATACGCAAATTAACTAAATTACTTTAAAAACGCATTGGGTAATGCATCCTTGAGTTTCAGTCAAATTAAATACACAGTTTTTAAAAATTGCGGCATTTACAAAAAAAAAATAATATAATGTTTGTTTACACATGGGAGCAAAACTGTTGCAAAATATGACACAAAGAAGGATGAATTATAAGTTCAAATTAAATTTAACCATCGTGTTAATACTTGCTTTTTCCAACGCCTAAATCGCCAAGCCCGTCCTACATTTGGTTTTATGTATTCATTAGACATATTTACGCTGGCTCAAACTACCTTTTAATGATTTGTTTACTTCTTTATTCTTAAATGCCTTTTCAATCAAGATATATTCTCTTTTGAAGTTTTCAATTGTTGATGTATTGATCATGTGATAAAATGAATTCAAATGATCAATCTTATTGGCAAACAACACGGTTTCGTTGCTCGAGATAAATTTTGACAATTTTTATGTTTTGTTCCTGTTCTCAAAGTTTATATTGCATAATTAAAGGTGATCAAAACAAACATAAGAATGCTTCCATTCTATAGAGTATTTTGAGAAATGCAATTTTGATAATGAAAAGTAATTAAACACCTTAATTATACAGATTATGTCTTTTATGATTAAAATTATAACAATTTATCTTTAACATATATTTAAGTATAAATACAATACTAATAATACAATACTTATTAAGATTTTAAATTCTTAAATCCAGGTAACAACAAAACAAGCTAGTCCTGATATGAAAGGATATTGTATTTCTTAGAATGTTATTGAATTATATTCATGTTAACCTATTAAAGATGTAACAAAATTATTAAAGTCGATATTTAAATGTCAAACGCGTGTTATTTCCTTCTAGCGCTTTTTTGTTTAAGTTTTTTTGTGTGCATTTTTGCCAGTTTTTTGTTTTGCCGTACTTTACAAATGCTATAAATAATAAAAAGGTTAGCAACGTGGTTATGATATTATTTTAGATTTCGTGATTATCTCAGTAAAATTCTGCAATAAGATAAGAAAATGTAAACAAGTCATGTCATATCTTATTTTTCCGATTTCAACTAAGAATAGTAATTGATCACGCTGACGCTTAGGTTCTGTCTACATTCGTATGATATAACTTTAATTCCTACAAATGATAGCAAATAAAAATAAAACGGAGATGGTAACTTGTTATTTTTATAAATGTTTGAAATAATAAATGCTTTTCTGGAAAAATGTACTTCATCAATACATACAAATTTTATCGTAACCTTTTTGAAGGTTTGTTTTAAAGGTTTGTGAAAGAAGGCATATTTAATTAACAGCCTTAAAATAAGCATGCATTTTAAAAGAAATGTTTTCGTCTCAAAATTTTAAAATCTTACAAAATTACACAGACTGAAAAAATTAAATGATAAAGGTTTTTATAGAGGGATATTTAATTATTTTACAAACGTGCCGGCAATAAAGTTAGATATTTGTACTTGTCACATTGAACGTGAAATTTTGCCTCAAGGCAAATTTATCAATTATATTTACTTTGTTGTCAATGCAAATTGCAATACACTTTGCACTCATGAATCTCAATTATATGCACATAATATTGTAATTAGTTCATAATTTATATGATATAATTCATAATTAAAAGCAATTAATCTTTTAAATGCAGGTAATCTTCAAATTAATAACTTTAAACAATTGAATACCTGGAAAAAACAAAACAAATTGTGACATCACAATACGCCTTATGTGCTGAGGGAGAAGTAAACACATTAAAATTTTGTTCTAACTGATTAATTGCCATTGTTATTTCTATGAGGTGTACTCTTAAACGACAAGAAATGCAATGCTAAAGTTATTATCACTTTCAAAAATTCTCAGATAGCAGAACAAAAATTGTCGTATATTGTCGGGTTTATAAAAAGGCACAGTGTATTCGAAATATTGCATATATATTTTAAGATGTGAAATATTTTTACATTTCAAAATATTATTACTTTTTAAACGAACATGTATTGAATTATCTAGCATTTGTACATGAACACATAATTGCAGTCATCTTAACTGCAGTTACCATTATGATCGGAATTATTCGGTCAAGCTAGAACTTACGAACTGCTTCACTAGCGAGCTTATTTCTTTACATGTCAACCGAAAGATAAGACACCTTATTGATGTCCTGGTCAATATATTTATCGTTATATATTTTTGTACAAATGTCGGGAATGGGCGGATTTGATGCTCGATATACAAGCTTTTATCTGATTTACATGTCACGATATTATGATATTAATGTCATCTTAGAGATAAAAAATGTGATAAACAAAGTATTTTATATGATTTTGGGTGCAAATAGCACCAATAAATATTTTTTTATTATAAAATGTTGACAAAATAGTGTTTCCATTTAAAAATTGGTTTTTGGTTTTGCTTTCTTTATCAAAGTCACAAATATTTAAAAGGCCATGCATATAAGAAAATATTTAAATTATGAAACAATAAAAGTAAAAAGTCAACATAATTTTAATACAATTTTATTGATTTAGTTTTATGCTTACAAATGTGAGCGTAAAGAAAAAGTATGTCAAAACATGTAAATAGTGTCAATTTATTCAAATGTAAAAATGTTGAAATAATCCTGAAAATCTTTTTGGTTAAAACGCGTTTTGATTGTACTAGTGAAAAGTGAAAATATATTAATTGTATTGACTAGGAGATGCAATATCCCAAAAATAACTTTAATATTTTTCACTATGAATTATATCAGCATTTGTTCATCATTTTGATGCGTATGCCTGCTATTGTTATTTTGCAACAAAATCACTTTTAACAACATAAATAGTATTGTGTTGTTCATATAAAGTTATATAATATAATGATCTTTATATGGTTCTTTTATCTTTTCCAGTGCTTCAATTCCACCAATCTGATGACTTTATTTGGGACTGGTCTTTCTTACATAAATGAAGATTCGTTTAAACAGATCTCTACCATGCTACTTTACCATGCTTCTAATCTAGCAGCATTCTGTCATGCAGACATTGAAATCGATGATATGTTAGAATTCAATGACAAAAGAGCTGAGCTCATGAACAGATTTAGTGGGGGTAATTCCGGCTTTTTGAATATTGAAATGATACAAGATTCATTAGAGAAAATGGAAGACTTTTATGAAGATCTTACTGAGAACGACTCAAAGGAATCCGAAGAAGACAGTCATGATCACGGAGACAGCCATGGCGACGGACATGATCATAATGATAATGAAATGCCTAGTCTCAGCTTGGAAGATTTATTAGGAGACCACTTTGCTGACAGTATGTTGGGAACAGGCGATTCACATCACCATGACGATGATCATGGGCACAGTCATGAACATTCAAGGAAAAGACGTGGAGGATCGGATGAAAGTAAAGACGGTCTGTTGGAAACTTCTAAAGGTATCTTATGTCTATTTTGTCTTATATAATTTACATTAGGTTTTTATATGACATTTGTAATAAAAGAAAGTAGATCTACAAATTGATAATTTAAAAAAGATGAAAGCGGTAGAAAATAAGAGAACGATACTAAATTTTAAGTTATATCTCATAGCAATCTACAAGATGTGGTAGTTAGTGTCTAGATTTCTTAGACAATTTCTTAGATTTGATCATTACAAGAAACCCAACGTTATAAGTCACTAATAATTGAGTGCAGTAAACTGATTGAAATGATTCTATTCTTCCACATTCTTTATTTCAAATATAGAAGTTTTCTCTGTCAAAAAGCGCAACAAAAAACAGTGCCAATTTTGTTCATATCTTATTTTAACCATTGAAATGTACTATGAAAGATTACTCTGTTAATAAATGTACTTATCTGAGGTAGAAAGTTTTAACTTATAACCTCATAACGGACTTAAATGTAATTAAATGTGTCTTAAATGAACAATCACTATATTCACATAATTATTAAATGTTGTACTAGATAACAGCAAATTTATATTCAATACTAAATATGTAGCTAATCATTAACTGCTTATGCAAATATAGCACTTCATAATGTCTGTCCTGCATTGAATTATTATTCAATCAAATACCGATACTGCTTGAAATTACAATCAATTAAATATTGTTTACAGAATTAACTATCTTAAATTGCACTCAATTCGTGCATGTGATTAGAATTTGCAAGACCTGAGGTAATAAAAATCTGATTTTGTAGTAAAGTATTGCCTAATATGTTGCTTTTTTTATTTTTATTTGGGTTTTACGTCACAACGACATAGTATAGCTCATTTGGCGACGTTCCAGCTTTACTGGTGGAGGAAGACCTCAGGTGTCCCTCCGTGCATTTTTTCAGGCACGAACGGGCACCCGAGTAGAACCACCGACGTTCCGTAAGCTAGCTGGATAGCTTCCTCACATGAAAGAATCCATAATATGTAGCTATTATACTAGTATATAAAAATAATTGCTAAATAAACACCATATGCAAACAGGTTTTCCTTTATTCATATGTGTTAGAGGACCTCTAAAGTTCATAATATACTATTCACGATAACTTAAACAAAATATAGACCGCCTTAGTGGGCGCTATTATGCTTACATGTTTATCTGACCGCTAAAAGTTACTGGTGTATTCTCGCGATGAAGATGTCACATTATGTGCATCATACAAGCTGGCTGCCAATAGTTTTCAATACATTTTACTAGATATGCTCTTTGTAAGCAATATCATTCCGTCATCGTTAAATTTTATGCTTAAGTTTCCAAGTTATGGAAATTAAAAGTGCGGTAAAATAAATCAAAAGATATTTCAAACATAACTTCAGAAGACAAAGCATTATAAGTACCTCAATGTCAGGCAAAAACATTCCATCCGTTAAATACTTTGAATTTCGATCATATCACAAGCAGTACATGTATATTGTTCTTTGGAAAATAGTTTATTAACTTCTCAGCACTTTCAAGTGTGTTTCTATTAAATACATTCTTCTTCTAATTCAACTGATTTCATTCAACTTTGGTCTTAGCTTATTCAGCAGTTACGCAAGTCGCCATTAGCATCTTATGTTAAAACGGCACGGTCGTGTTCCTGATTTGTCTTATTTACTTCAATTATCGTTGTTGGTGTCCCTTTTTTGTCGACTGAAAACATTAGCTCTGACATAAATGACACTTTATAACCCCGTTTGTCACTTTAACTTCGAGACGCAAAATAAGTGGTGTTTACAGAAAAAGAGACGTAAACACATTTTCCAATTACGTTTGATGTCGTTTTCTATCAGCCTAAAAGGTATTTAAGAGAAATTGTCCCCTCCTCAGAAGATTATTAAAATGTATCCTACAAAGATAATGCAACAGCACTTTGAACATTAAGTGTTCTATTTTTCTCTTAAAAAACACTCGGAATAAATCGCTGAGTCGAATTATGTCGAAATTGCATGCAAAGGACCCTATGTATAATTGAGACTTGTGACCATCAATTTGTGTGATTTAATTGGCATTAATATTAGAGCGGAACAAATGTTTGAAATGGTAGTTTGTTGTTATGTTGTAGGGATGAAAGTACTTACCGTCAAGTTTAATCTATATTGTCATTTGAAATATACAGTGTATTTGTTCTGTGATTGTAATGCTTCTTCTTTTGCGCTAGTGTGTATATAGGTATTATCATTTGGGCTGAAAGATTAAATTCCACCGTCCCGTTGAATATATAAAGTAAAATATAAAGATCACGAAAATAAATATCGAAAATAATGGCCATCGCTCTTCTGATACCTTTCCTTGTGCTTCTATTTTGGTATTATTGACAATGCATTTTGTGGCATGTATGTGGTTTTAATGTAGTCTTTAATAGTCTTTATACTTATGTTATTTGGTTGACTATGCTCATAGACTGTGTAATCATTGTCTCCAGCAACTTATTGGTAGAGCTTAAATAATTTTACTGTCAAATTTGTTCAGTGTGCTATTGAATGTAACACAACTCATCAAAAGATTCAATCAGTCATGATTAACACAACATTTTAAGAACTTCAGCACCTTATACGGATGTTACATATCGTATAAGGCAATACAATATTTTGTCTTGGAATGATTTAATGCAATATTAACGAAAAAACTAAATTGTTTAAAAGTAAAAACCTTTAAGGACACGTTTTCCATGATTTCCAGAAATTATTGACGAACATTTGGATGATGGGCATTCCCATGAAAATGAAAAGAATGAACATAATCATGACGATGACAAAGACAAGGACTCGCAAGAAGAAGATAGTCACGATCATGACCATGATGATGATCACGACGATCATGACGACGATGACGATGATGATGATGATGACGATAAACTTATAGCAAACAATGTATGTATATTTACTATATTTATTTCAATTTTACTTTACAATAGTTTTAAGTGCTAAGATGATTACTTATTTAATTAATGAATGAAAACATTGATGATATTTTTTACTAAATTGTCAATATACATTATCGTACTAAAAAAATAAATAAATACATAAATAAATAAAATACTTTTTTTCTTGTATAGAACTCAATTTGAAGTATCAAATCAGAGAATCCGTCTTAACTTACATTAGCAATTTTTAACATGCCCCCTTCATGACGTTTAACATTTTATCTATTAGTGGAAAAACATGATTAATGGTATTTATGTTCAAAGGTATTAAAAAGAAAACTAACATTTGGTGTAAGTATAGTTTGTTGTAATTAATTGTTTGTAATTTTTCAGTGCGTGGGTGCCGACATTGTGTATGATCAACTTGGTATAGATATAGAAAGCCCATTAGAAAGTGATCACATTGACAAATTGTCATCAATTATTGTCTACTATATTCTCACAGGTAAGTTGGACCGAGTCTCTCATGTTTGTTTTTTGTGTGTTCATTGTATCTGTAAAATGATATCCTTAATCATATAGATGTTTACGCACGTAAAAACGAAAGAGAATAACAAAATTGCTTGTAATCAAACTGTCCATACAATATTAAAATCCTAAATATTGTGCGTAATGAAAAACAAAACGCCTAATTACTTCAACGCGGACATACTCCTACTATATTGCGAGTGCAAGAAAACGTATTGTTTTACTTTAAATGTTAATAATTATCAATAAATTGAATTGTACACAGGTGCCAAGATATCAAGACAATGTCGTCTGCTTCCAAGACAGAATTTCTTTGCCAGAAGGGTATTCAAAGAGCTAAATGCTGACAATGATATAATGGATTATGGAGGTTTGTATAGGGCTTTACATGATTTTAGGAAAATGTCGGATATGTCAATTAATATTTGAAACATTGGTTCTCAAATTTCATTTAAATCTGACCAGCGTGTTAGGATTTTTCCCATATTTTAAAACGTACATTTTCAATGATTGTATGACAGACAGTTATAATATTCAAACATGCTCATTAACTGTGTGTATTTTACAAAGAAATGAATGTTTATTTACTTTGAATGCCAAGATTAAAAAAATACCTTTTAGAAATATATACATTTATACGAGTGTGTTCTGTTCATAGCAAACTGTAGAGTGACATATAAACGCTACACATTTCATAAAATTTAAGAACATATTTTTAAGTTGATAAAAGTAAAATTTTTAGCTACAAAAACACTCAAATGACGTCATTGTTATATGATACTAACGTTTACTTGTTTTATCGCAGATTTCATAGAACTTTTGGGAAAACTAAGTATCGGACAGGCAATAGCTGCAGAAATGGCAATGACTGACGGTCATGGTCATGGTCATGGGCACGCTCATAGGAGAAAGAGGGCTGTTCCCACAACATTTGCAGAACCAGCAACTTGGGTAAAACAACCTTTTTATAGAATTTTAGAGTATACTCACGCTGAACTTTTCAAACCAATTTTAACGTAGATATCCAATGCCATGTGTTCATGGAGTCTAATAAAGAAAAATCTAAACTTGTCATGTTCACATCTTTTAGACACGTGGTTTGTATATTTGAATGATTTTTCAATGAAAAATAAAAGACCAGAAACAATGAAGTACGTCGGTTAATAAAAAGATTCATTTATTGAAAAATATAAATATCAAATCTTATTATTTCAGAATAACCAATGTTATACCGGTGACCAACTTTTGTCAGTCTATAAGGTGCCAGCAACAGGAATCTCCCTTGACAAGTTCAAAGAAGTCTGCCCATCTCTCATCCAGCAACAACTTTCTGCTAACTGTCAAAAAGGAGCAAGCAAGAAACAAAAAACCGAAATTGGCCGACCTACAGATGCCGAACGTACGTCCAGCTTTGCTTATAGATAAAAGTTTTGATCTGTCTTCTTTTCTATAATATAACTAAAACTCTTTTGCCATATGCATTTGATAATATTTCATATTATTGATTAAATGTTGATTAAATTAATTTCTGCTGTTTGCCTTTTTTTACATAATTTGACTACTGTCTTACTATAACATGTTCTTGTCCACTATAAACGTATGTATTAACGTGCTTATAACTAGTTTTATTTTCGTTGTAAAACAGTGCGTAAAACTAGATAAAAGTCCTTAAAACATATCTGCATTTTATGTGATTAATTAGTTTAATGATATATTTTAGAATTATATTTATAAAGTTTATTGATATATTTCAGGTTATGGATACGGAACATTGGCTAATGTTCTATGTTGTTTATGTTCTCTCGCCGGTATTGTTGTACTGCCTTGCAGCAGTAAAGGTGTTTACAGAATCCTTATAGCAACATTTGTCGGGCTCGCCGTGTCTACACTCTCTGCTGATGCATTATTACATCTCCTGCCAGTGGTACAAATGTTTTCCATTTAAGATTAAACTATTCTGTCTGAAACAAGAGATGTCATGTTATGTAAATAAGGTTTAATTATGAACATGTGCACTGTTTGTTATCTTGATTTAAGATGTTATCATATTATCTTGGATTTATAAACCTCATTTAATTGATATAAAATATTTGTCTATAATATGTCATCTAAATAAAAGTCAAGATCCAATTTATGTAACTATTTAGTATTATACATAAAATTATGCATGCGCTACATCTGACAGATTTAAGTAATATTACTTTTTTTAAATTTGTTTTCTTTCTACGAAATTAACGGTTATGTACTACATTTATATGAATAATTATTCAAGAACGTCGTCATGTCGAAATGCATCATATTTGATTTGCTTGTCTAGTTTACTGATTTAAACTGTCAACATGATATGTGTACATTTCTTTTCTTCGTTGAAATTTATGTGTTCTTAAGTACGCCGTTATACTTTGTACTGAATCGTAAGGTTATACTATAAACATATTTTCAAGTACATTTAGTACATTATAGTATGACACAAATATTTTTGAATGTTGTTTTTATTCATACGACAACATTATCAGATAAGGAAAGTTTTGTTTTTGTTATGTTGCGACACTCAGCTCATTTTCTAACAGTTCATTTTCTAACAGTCCATTTATAAAAAACCTAAGGTTCGCCCATCATTATTTCATAAGGTACTGAAGGGCACCTGGCTAGAAATACCAATTATTGGACAGTTAGATTGGTAAATTCCTCAGTCGCATGAAGCGCCACCCCCCATAAAAAGCTTTTCAGGATTCGAACCTATAGCGGCTATTGGCAAGTGGTCCATACCTTAATGTTAATGTATAGATGGACTTTTTCTCAATCAGCCATGCACTCAGATGAGTATAAATATTATTACTTTTGAATGTAAGATATTCTTGTTTTTTAGGCATTTGGAATTCACAGTCACGAAGATGAAGATGAGCATGGCCATGATCATTCGTCAGGAGGTTTCCATTTTGAACCATATCTTGGATACAGTCTCGCAACCCTTGCAGGAATATACGTGTTTTATATTTTTGAAAAGCTCATGTCAATATATAGCAATGCAAAGGTAATGGACGAAAACAATTGTTAAGTTTTTTTTTTATCAATTTTCATTCGTAAAATGTTGTTGTAGACACAATGTCTGTGACTTTGCAAATGATTAAGAAAACAATCACAATTTTAACATGATTCTCTTGAAAGCTTTCGTGCCATGAAGTCGAATAATTAAATGAAGTTGGAATGTTTTTGGCTGGCTGTCAGATGTCGTAATGAGTATTTCATTATCAATTCTAGACTTTGTACCGCATAAATAATTAAATCATACCATTTCGAATTCAATGAATAAACTTGCACTGATATAACAAGACTAATCATGCACACTCATAAGGAAAAAATAAAACTAGTAACCAACTAACTAGAAATCAGTTTATTTAAAATACGTATCTCGTTAGAAATAATATTGTATTTGGTCAAAATTATATAATTACATGGTAAACCTAAATTTGAATATTTTTTGCTACACAGTTATTTGTAAAATGACATTATTTAATTTAACATAATTATAAAGGTATTTGTTTGGTTTAGGTTGATAAGCATGACGACGATCCTCTTGAAATGGCAGTTGGTTCATATGGCAACAACTGTAGTGGGAAACAGGTACAAGTTTCTAAACATTAGAATCTTTACTCTGCAATTTGTAGGTGGATATAATGCACAAACTCTTGCTAGTTATTCTTTTATATTGACATAATAGATATTATGTTATATCACAGTCATTATAAATTGTTTTGGATTTGAGAGAGTTTCAGTTTATTTGTTTATATCTTGGAGAGACCTTAAACATACATATAGCGTAATAAATCATTTGAAAATATATCAGCATGTGTCTATTGGTTAGACATTTGTAATCTACATATGTGTATTCTTATGATATAGACTTTAAATTTTCAGTTTGCAAACGGAAATGGATATGGATCAAACGCAAATTTACCCTCATATGACGGTGCTGATAGACAGGAGAAGGAAACTACATCAAGTAAGTTAATCTTTGAAATTATCCTTGTTCCGAATTACAACAAGGTTTTATATTAATCAGTTGAATCGTTTTTCTTAATAACCGGGATATAGATTACCGTAAACATTATATGTATAACATCAACTCTATTGAATTATCATGTGTTAATTTTAAACAATGCTGTAGTAATTATTTTTCTGGAATATGTTTGTGTCCTTACTCGTCCTGTCTACACATCTCATGTTTAATGATAATTATTTGAGCCGCGTCACGACAAACCCAACATAGTGCGTTTGCGACCAGCATGGATCCAGACCAGTCTGATCAGGATCCATGCTGTTCGCTTACAAACTCTATTACAAGTAGAAAAACTGATAGCGAACACAATGGATCATGATCAGACTGCGCGGATGCGCAGGCTGGTCTGGATCCATGCTGGTCGCAAACGCACTATGTTAGTTTTGTCTTGGCGCGGCTCATTTATTGTTTTTGTATGGTTGCTCGCCACCAGACGGACGAGGAAACAAACGGGAGTTAGTGTATTAAACTGGTTCGTCGTAATTTCGAAGTAGAGCGAATTTGAAAATGTCTTTAATGTGTTATGAATCAAGAGGCTTTGCAATTTTAATTTTATGGTTTATATATAGTTATTACATGCATTGTTTAAAGATTGGTTGATTAAGTGAGTTCAAAGTTTTATTTTGTGCCATCGTCGGACATCCACGGCCGAACCAGTAGCATTTATCAGATTACATGTTTATCAACCGTTGGTATCCGACGATGATTTGGTGGTGGATTATGAATTATCTTTCGCTTTTTTTCTTATAAAAAGCTTAAAATCATGTTTACTGTATAACTACAGCTGATTGTATAACACTTTTGTCTAAAGCATCATGTGTTCAGGTGTTGTCTTTTAAAGTGAAAACAGGGAAACAGCTTTATCATTATCACTAAGAAAAATGCAATTATAGATGACTATATGACACACGGCTAAATATTAAGGTAAAATAAATATAGGACCCGAAATGCCTTCTCATCTCATAACGTTTATATTAAAAGACTATACTAGTAGTTAATGTTTACACTGAAACAGCTCCGGTGTATTATGTCATTTCTGTTACAAATATATGTACAACTGTTCATGTACAGATATATGTACAAATGTTGAAAAAGTACGCGAGGATGCATGTTAAGATTTTGTATCAAAGTTGATACACTCAATAGTGTTTTGAGGGATGTTTATGTGCAATTCAGAACTAGCACTATGCAAAAACCTAACACATAACTTATATTATCTATCGATAAGCCCAAATTTTGTTTCATTGAATAACTCTTGTCATATTTAATGAATTTTATGTGACAGATATACTTTTTTCCCAGATGATCTGATTTCAAATAATTGAAAATTACTCCAAATATGTGATACTTATATTTGTCATAACTAGTTTATTGTTGTTTATATGTTAAGATAACTTGAGTGCTTGCCCCTTATAGTATATGTTATTGTTTTAGAGCCAATGAAATTTAATGGTAAGTTTATAAATAAGGATCAGTCGCGCTTAGTGAAGGTTTGGGGCTATGTTAAACAATGTTTTATTCTCGAAGAAAAAAATAGGAATATTTAAAATAAAAGTTAATTGGCCATACATGTTAGCGAGATATATTATATAGTATATTACACAATTACGAGCTGTATTAATTCGTCACCTTGTTATCAGCATTTTCATAGTTTATTTTCTAAATGTAGCGTGTTTAATACATTTCTATTTGCTAAATATTTATTAAATATCATTTCTTGGTATGTCTTGTCGTTGACATCGTTTCGTTTTGTTAGAAAATTGGGATAGAAGGACATGTTTTAAGATAAATGCAAATGAAAAAGAAAGTATCGCTGGAGAGTATTTTAAAATGTGTCATTTGTTTGATAAGGTTTTTTTATTTGAATAAGATTTGTTTGACAATTTGTCGCAATGGGTTCTAAGGCCTTAAACAAGTTATATAAATTACTAACTGTAGACATAGATTGTAAATGTTGTGTGCTCGCCGTCAATAGTTGTAATTGTTATGGTGGTGTTTTCCTTTAGCTGAAAATAGAAGCATCCGTTGGCTAGAAACAATTTTATTAATTGAGAAAAGTCATTGGGAACTTAAATATAGCAATAAATGTTCTCTAGAGCAGTAATGAATAAATTGATTTTTAATAGAGGAAGTTTTCCTATATATAGCTTAAATTGGAGTTTGTATATTTCCTTAAGTAATAGTGACGCAGATAAGCTCGAAAGCAAAACAATGATTACGCAATTTTATGTAAGACAAAAATGTTGTATCAGTTATTAAAAAGTTATTTTGAATTTACAATGTGTCTCAAAATGATTTCATTTTCATTTGACATCACGTTACGTCATCCAACTTTTATATAATTGCTTTCCTTTACTTTCGTAGAAATAGTAATTCATCTCTTGAGTACTAGTAGTGTATATGACTAACATTAACATTTGCTTGCTTTTTTCAACTTTGTGTCTACTTAAACTTGACGTGTAACGTTGTTTAACAATATAATATTTTGATGCATTTTATACATCATTTCGGGTTATCCTGGAAAAGAAAAGAGAAAAATAGTTTTCATATTTTGTTGTATTTTAAAATGTAAGGATTTCCTTTTAAACTCTTTTAAACGCTTATTCAGACATTGCAAGTTTTAAATAACATATAATAATTTTATTAAAAGTATCCTCAGATTCCCTGTGATGGATTAAGCCATTAGGTACCTCATAAGTCTTCTATATAGAAAGAAACTTACACATTTGAAGTTTTTCCTGACAATGATAAAATGATTTTACGCATTTTGACAAAATTTATTGTATATCTATAGTTTGTATTGATAAGGAAAGTAGTATATTAAAACATTGTGCCTTATACAGAATTGAAACTTATTGTAGTTATTGTCAACTGTTTATCATCTACTATTTAATTCATTGTGATCATATATCTACAAAGGTCCCTTTTTGTAACAGGTACGCATTTAACATGCTATTTTACCAATGAATTAGGTTATTTGTGACCAGACATATTGATTAACTTATCTTGATGTGTAGCTAAAAATAAGTTTTAATTTTAAAAGTTAATTTACATTATGTTTTGTTGCATGTTGAAAAAACAATAATGAAGCTAAATTTGTAGCATAACAAAATGGCTGAGACATTACTTATGAAGCCATATATATCGCTACACAAGCTAATCATTACTTATTTATTTTTTTTCTTCTGTTTTTTAGAAATGCCACCAGTTGCCATCATGGTAATTATTGGCGATGCTGTCCATAACTTTGCTGATGGTCTGGCCATAGGGGCCGCATTCACTGACAGTATCAATTTAGGAATTTCTACTAGCATAGCCATATTCTGCCATGAGTTCCCACACGAACTTGGTAAATATTACTTAATATTCAATTTGATAGTATAATGTTTGTTTTTTTCCTCCATGAACTGCGTTTTATGTTTCATTTATAGACAAATGATTTATAATTGTAATATTCTTGGATGACTTTAAAAAACAAACCTTTTGAACAGTTCAGCTAATCTGTTTGTTGTTCCTAAGATATTTTTAAGTTTGATGGCTATTTTCTGATATAAAGTTTAAAGTTTCTTTTTTTCTTACGATTAAATGAACGTTATTTCTTAAATATAATGAACGTTTATACACTGATCAAGGCAAAATACTTTCTGATTCATTTTGCTTTAAGCCTTCACAAAAAACAGTCTTCTGTATTTGCGAATCAATGTAACTTTTCTATTTCAATTTTCAGGCGATTTTGCTATCTTATTGACAAGTGGTTTGTCTTTTACACGTGCACTTGTTTTCAACTTCTTATCGTCATTGACGGCCATGGTTGGGCTATATATTGGGTTGGCAGTTTCAACTAATCCTGAAGTGAGGAACTGGATATTTGCTGTAACGGCCGGAATGTTCCTATACATTTCCCTCGTAGATATGGTAAGTACTCTTGAACACTTTACCTGCTAAATTTCTAAATATGATAAAACTTGTCCGTCAATCATTTTTAGAACTATTCGCTCTCAAGTTTTTGAATATAAAGACAAAAAATAAAGGTATTCAGCCAACTGTGTAGAGCCTGATCAGACTTTACGGATATCCATGCCACCCTGACTCAATGATGATCATTTTCTGTTTCAAAAACATTATCACATTTTCAATATTATGTAAAGGATCTAATCATATAACGTTATATCAATGGAAATATCAATTGAAAATATCAATTTAGTTAACGATAGCTATTTACCGCAATATTCGTGTTTTCGTTGAGCAACCTTCATCAAACCGATCATGCAACATTTTTACATTTTGCCATCAATCATGAGGTTCTCTTTAAAAATGATTACTAGAATATTGCGTTTTCTTTTGACAAGCTTTTAAATTTCATATATTTTAATGAAAGAAAATCATCTCGAAAGATTTTTGATTATAGTAATCATTTGTAGTTCTGTTTGTTTTAATATAATGATACTGTTTTCATCTTAATACACTGAAATTATGTTAGAAATTGATTGATACAAATGAATTTACTGTATGCAATTATACAAATTGTACATTTATTGTTTTATAGCTGCCACAGTTGCTTGAGAAGAAGAAAGACAAACCAGTTTTAAATTTCATTTTTAACAACGTTGGGATACTTATCGGAGGATCTATAATGTTATTGCTGGCATTGTACGAGGAACAAATTAAAATATAGGTATGCAAATATATTTGTTGATTGATATTGTAAGAATTGTTTTGTTTAAAATAATAAAATGTGTCTCTTGTTGAGCGATTCTGTTACTTAAAACGTGTGTATTTGTTAATATAATGGTTTCTGGAAGTCCGTTTTTCCTTATAGCTGCAATTCAAACACTTGTTAAGATAAAATGAGTCAAGCTAAGTCATTGCAGATGTGAATTAAAGATAAATGCATAAAAAGATAAAGATAAAAGCTTTGCAATCCTGATGTATAGCTCTTATGTTCATAGAATCAGTTTAAGTTTGTCTCGTTATCTTTCCAATGCCTCAAATAAGAAAATTCGTTTCTTCAATATTTTTCAAACTGTTTATTTGTTAGAAACGTTAACAGATTTTTCTTCAGTGTTAAATGTGTTATATTTTTTTCTTTTTCAGATAGCGGTAAAACCCTGGACCCATTCACCACTGTACAAATTTTGAATCGTCATGTTAATATATGCAACACATAATTTTATAAAAAAAATGATCATACATTAAAACTGTTTGTCTATTGCATTATTGTTATATGTAAATACCGTGTTCATATGTGAAAGAAAATTTATCTATTTAGTAACTGAACATCATCTTTTTATAATAAATCATTCACAATACAATTTTGCCTTTTTATTTAATTTACAAAATATTTTCATCTGTGTACGCTTGGAAGACATTATAAAGAATCGTTTTCAGCACTTTAAGATATTGATTCGTTTATGGATTTAACGAAGCCAAATTATGGGAATAAACCACAATGTGATTGACATTTGTAATAGTTTTATAATCATTATAACGCAAAGTTTAGTAATAACTCAAACCATCACTTAAACACATTCTTGAGAAAAAAATATATAGCGTTTTTCATTAAAAATGTTGTACTTTTATAATAGAAACTCATCAAAATAAATATTATGCAAATTGCAATAATGATATCGAAGAATTGAAACATAATATTGGATATTCAGACCGTGAGTAACAAAATCTTGGTTACACGGCAATGGCATGATCTTCCTTTACTCCGAGGCAATTTCATTAATTTTTATTAATGTATATGTGACAAGGATCGAGAGATTGCAATCTCTGTGTCATTAGGAGATGTTCTTACAATCCTTTAGTTAATTTCTTTACCTTACTTTAATGTTCAACTTTTTTCCTCTTTTATGATCTAACATTTGTCAATTGTTCTACGTAAAATTTAAAAGGTTTTAGGCATTCAAATTAATGAATGTTTATAACCTTCGTTGATAATGCTAATAGCTTTCCAACGACTCAACGTTTCCGTTTAGCTTCTTTAGCATTAAATATGTTTATCGTGAATCAAACGCGTTTGCAACAACTTAAATTGGCTTTGCCATCTCGTAAATGGTCCGAAGAGGTGAAAAGATCATTGTGTTATTAAATATAAAGCTAATGTATCACCCCTATTTCATTTTTAGATATTTCAAAACGACCCATTGGCAGTTGTAAAAAAGGTGTTCTCATATTTTTCTGTTCCTTCGAGTTTTTTTTGAGTCTGGGACGCTAGTGTTGAAGATTGAATTCTGCTAGCATGTGCTAGGAGGTACCTAGCCGTAAGAGATGATGTCTCAAATTTACATGATCTATCATGAACAGACTTAATTAAACACAGTCTGCAATTTTCATATTTTCTTTTTGTTTTCTTTTAATGCTTCCGAGGGATTACCCCTTATCCAGATTATAAAATATGTTGAGGTCTGAACAACAATAAGCGAAGACTGCAATACACTTAAGAAGAAGCATAAAAATTTAGCATAATTAATTATATAAAAGTGCCAAAAAATATCGACTAAAATTTACAATTTAATAAGTCATGAAACTTTTAAAACTGTGTGTATGTAGATTAGCCAAGATATGTCAAGAAAATACATGTCGATTTTTTTCAAGAAAAGTAAAACGATGTAAGATGTTGCAGTCCTGACCTTTTAAAGTTATTTACGCGAACTGCAAGTTACGTTTTTGATAATTATATAGAAAACATGTTTTTGACGAGGGAAACCAACTGCATGTTAAATCTGATAATCCCATTGTTTTCAAAGTTGTTTGGCCACAAAATAATCTCAATTCAGAAATAAAAATACGAATATAAATAATGCAACTCCTCATTTGTAAATGAATTAGTTCATTTAAGCAAAACAGCAAACTTCACAACTAATGTGTGTTTTATTTAATATTGTTCAAATACCGTTGGTTGCCCTTGTTATCAGTATCACAAACATGTGATTTTTTTAACGAAAATTTATCAAATTAAGTGTAATAGTGTCTTCTACAAATACGTATACGCACCTTAAAAAGATATAAGCCGGAAGCGACAAATTGTCACAATAGCACTGGTCTTGACATAAGTTAATTGACTGCTATTTGAAGCATTGCTCTAAGCCCATCCTTCTTTTTAATCCCACTAATGAGGTAGAAAGAGATCTTCAGCGCAATTCTAAATTATGCAGTTCTCTTACGACTAGAAACGATTTTATGTCTTCAAATGAATGACAATTGAAATGACATTTTGATATCTTTTAGAGTTTATACATGTAGTAGAGTAGATTGATCAGCAATGGTCACAATTTCTATAAGCAATTCAAATTTTGATAAAATCTAGACATGTATCATTGGAATATTCTCATGTTTCATTTGAATATTTCAAAAAATATTAATTGAAAAAAAAAGAAATAAGAGTTATAATTATGAAATGAATATTTATATGATGAATAAAAAAACATTTTGTTTTAGAACAATTTAATATTTGCGATATGTGTAGATAATGATTTATTTATCATGTATCTCACCTAGCTGACGAAACGTCGGTGGTTTTACTCGGGTGCTCGAGTTTGTCTAAAATAATATACGGAGAGTAACCCGCAGTATTCCTTACAGTAACACTGGGATGTCGCAATATGCCATCTATGTTGTTTGTGCAACGTAAAACCCAACAAGATTAAGAATCATACTCTTACCAACAACGGCCACATATCATTATTTCGTGAGTTATTGTCATGTTCGATGCTAAACATCATCAACATATACAATAAGTATTAATTGTTTATTAATAGTTCCATTTTGGACAAATTCTTTTATGAATATTCTTATGATTTAGTATGAACATTTATGATATGAATAATAGAATAATAGTATTTTGTTCTAGAACAATGGTTTCTCTGATTAGTTTCATATCACTTAATCGCAAGGGATGGTTGAATATGCAACAACTCCAACAACAAAATGTCAATTTTTGTCAAATTCAATACATAGTTTTTTAGACATTATAAAGTTGTATTTTTTATAATGTTCATAGTAACATATCGTAGTGTTTATAATGTTTTAGCACTTACTCATATACAAGAACAAAATCTAATTTAAAAAATACATTTTATTGCATGTTTGTCTCATGTAAAACAATGATACGAAAGTGATATAGTTTATTGTCATTTGAAGAGTGAATTTTCTAATTCAACTCGATCATCATTTATACGTTTAATCATCCCAGGTAATATCTAATAAATATATATAATATACATGTTTATATACTTAATATTCTCTCTGTACAGAAACAATTCTAATGAAGAAAAATAATTTATTGTAAAGAAAATCACTTTTTGAAAATATATCTTCCGGATTTTACAGTTGATTAACACCACAATCTACGATAAATTAACGAGCTACAATATCTATTAATACTTTAGGTAGATCTAATGAATGTTTAAAACACATAATTATATAATCTTTGTAAAGAAATAACAATATTCAGGAATGATAAATGCTTGTAAAGTAAATCGCTTTTTGAAAATACATCTTTCGGATTTAACAACTGATTAACATTTTAGTAACGGTCGGACAGATTCAATTTTTTATACTTTTCACTTGAAACTTTCCATATTTAGCTGCTTAATTAATACATAATCAGGGTAGATTTTCTCCAAACTGTCAGTTCGTCTGATATATTATTTAACAAAGCTTGAACTGATGACAGCAAACATTATTGATTGGTTTGATATCAATTAATTATTCTCTTCCACAGACTTAGACTGGAAGCTAAGACGAATAAATAGTAGGCAATTAAAATGTTATTAACCTTAACCATTAGGTTGGAAAGCTTTAACATACAGTTACGAAGCGGGAAATTCATCAGCTTCACAAACGTAACATTAATCAAATGTAAATTAAACGTTTGTACAGATTATGTATGAAGTTGAACAAATAAAAATTAATTATTCAATGTGATTTAAATGTGTTATGGTCACAAAGGTAGTTTACACTCAATTCACTTGCATGTGTATAACCAAATGTCGTCTGCAAGAAAGGACAATTTAACGCAATACTTACTTTTCACAAGACAGGAGATTTGACTTAACTAGACTACTTATCAAGAATATGAACACAAGTTAATTACCCACGAAATGAAGCATCACTCTTAACCTATCTTGTATAATCGCGCTAATGATACGACATGGGATTTCCGATGCATTTATATGCTATTTACTGTGCAGTAATGCCGTAGAAAGGATTATGCCAATCAACACAAGACAAAACGAAACATTTTGGGTTTAAGATTAATAACCGAATGTCATTTGATTCCACTTCTTAAAGTATGGCTGTTAAAAATTAAAAATTAATAAACAAAATGTTGAAATGTAGGTTTTATTGGTGCTGCTTATTTTAGAATATAGATGATAAATTTGCAATAAGATATGAATATCTTAATATTTTGATATTGAATTGAAACGTATATGTTCACATGTGTTGACAGTGCTTTACTTTTATACACATGTTCGCGTATACAGTAGAACGAACAAAGATAAAACAAATCCACTCATTAAGTCTGTTCATGAGAGGCAATAAATAAGATGCATTATCTTGCCCACCCCCTACCAATGATTTCATACTTAGACAAAAATATCTATCATCAAGCAATGTATACAACTATTTAAAATGAATAGTTTTATACAGTCATATGGAATCTTATACAAACTATGCGTATATACGTTTATCAAAATATTGATCCACTTTGTTGCAATTTTTATTAATTCTTGTTTGATATATATAAACTTAAGACAAAAGCACACAGAAGCAAAAAACAAAGGACACTTTATTAAATTGTTATTTTGCGTGACACAAAGGACATTTTATTAAATTGTTATTTTGCGTGAAAAAAAGGATAAGAAAAACAAAGAGTTTGATCATAATTTTGCGGATGCCCTTACAAATTAATGCATGAACATTGTAAATGATCGACTATCTGTCCACATTTCAATCATCTTGTAGCATGAAAACGAGACAGTAACCCATTTTGGGGGATATGGTAAAAGTCGTCCATACGTCCGTCCTTCGTCCGACATTTTTGTCCGGAGCATATCTCAAAAAGTATTTGAGGTATCAACTTGAAACTTAATTTTGTGGATAGATCTTATAGAGGAGGAGTGCAGTGTACAAGAATGATAACTCTACTTTGAGTTATTGCCCTTTGTTATTTTTCAAACTTAATTTTTGTCCAGAGCATACCTCAAAAAGCCTTTGGGATTTCAACATGAAACTTCATAGGTGAATATATCTCACTCAGGAGGTGTGCAGTGCACAGGAATGATAACTATACCCTTCATATTTT